ATATATATTATATATATTTTATTATGTAAATATTGTATAATATATATATATATATATATATATATATATATAAAATAGTATATATTAATATTATACAATGTTATAAGCAATATAATATTAAACATTTTAATGTAGTCACAGTTGAGGGTACACCATGCAACCTTTCGCACTTTGCTAGAATAGGCTTTTGATAACAACAGATCTAAGGTGCTTTATGTCATTCGTTTTTAAAAGTTAATAAGCTTATATATTAACTCTGCATGATTATAATTGCACTTATAATTGTGTTTTTTTCTGCTGTTTGTGGATTGATTTTTGCATTGCAAACCATTGGGTTTTGGTATGTGACAAATGGTGCGGAAAGAAATCCGCTCAATACGACACCAGATATCTTCTGCTCTCGGTGTGTAGTGTGTACATCATCAAATACAATAAATATACACACAATTACAGAGAGAGATTTAGAAAGACTTATGCTGTGTATTCAGCTGAAAGAAAAAGGGAAATAACAGGTGAGATGTGTCTTGATTGAAGGTGCTGTCAAAGCTGACCATCTGATTTCCATTCCTTGCACCGACCACACCCGACTCACGAGAACAATGAACAAAGCCTGGGATGGTCTTCAAAAAAATCAAACAAACATATTTCTTTTTTCTTTCTTTTTTTTTCCATCTCGTCCATATTAAGACAATTGTGATGTGTCAAAGATCTCTCTCTCTCTCAGCCTGGTCCATAAGATGTCCCTCTCCCATCCCATGACTGATGTCTTCATCACCTTTCATGACCCGAGTAATGGATGGGGTGATTACAAAAGCATGTACCCTGCCCCCCAATAGAAAATTGATGAAAAATATCCTGCTTTCCTCTAGAGTCGCTCTTAGTGTACGCGCATCATGAGCTGTTGGCCTGCATTGGTACAACTGTAAAATATGAGCTTAATAAAATAGACATTGGAGCACTGGGGTTCCGTTCTGTCACACATCATATCTTGATTCATTGATAAGTCAGTGCTGTGAAATTGTGGGAGCCAGTTGCTCATCCCGCAGGGGCAACCTTGCCTTTCGTGATAGGGAATGCCACAAAATATAATTTGTGCTTGGTTTTAAACTTAGCTTGTTTCCTGGTTTCCATTGAATTATGAAAACATTATTTCGGAACTTTTAAATGTTTTCAACATTTCTGAAACACTTCCGTTCTAAAAACATTCAGTTTCACATTCTCATCCCAAAGCGTCATCTAACTGACGCCTTGGGAAGCATTTTGACCATGCTACAATATCTGACGCTTTAGGCACCCTTTAGCCCCAGTCAGATGACGCCCTAGGATCGCGTCAAGTAACAAGCGTCAGATATTGAAGCATGGTCAAAATTGTCAGTTAGATGGCACCTTGGGATGAGAATGTGTTGTTTATTTCGATTTGTAACACATTTTGTTGACTAATGCACCTGCATGTTGCAAAGTTACTCATATAGAACATCTTTTGGGGGAACAAGACAATAAAGTGTTAGCAGATATTAAGCAGATAGTGAGTGTACTAATACTATAAAGAGAGTTAGTGGACAAGTAGTTGCAAAGTTACTTATGGTCAACACCAGATTGCTTAAAAGTTACCAAACACCCTTAAAACTTAAAAAAAATGGATGTTTAGAATGTTCATAGTATAATTTTCTCTAATTGGGCAGTCATTTTTGAAATCTCACGGCTTTGAGGAAAGCTCATAAATTAACAAAAAATGTGTTCTGTGCATGATTCAAAGATGAAAGTATACAGAAGTCTTAACTTGAAAATGATTTCATAATCAAGAAGCACTCATAGTCATTACACCCTACTGTATGTAAACACACTTTGGCTGATCAACATGTCTCAGAGAGACTATAATTGCCTTGTTATGGTACAAAATGCATCAAATCACATTGTGAAATGAAACACTTGATTACAAATTCAAGTTCATGAACCTCCTCCATAAATGTAGCACTGGATGTCGTGCAGCGACCATAAATCTCCTACTCTGCTGAAGGTCATGAAATTTTTAGCACCAAAAGTTGGTGATGTCCATCTGGATATGAGCAATAAAGCAGCCGTGCGGTGCCAAAGCCACTATACCAGGAGCCCAGTGACGAATGAAGGCAAGAACGCTTTCAGTGGCCTCAAAATGAGAAAGCATTCATCCATTTCTTGACTAATGGCTGTGAATTTTCCCGCAGATCTTTCAGACACATGTATAACATCTTCTTTGGGGTGCAATTTGGTTTGGGTTAGAGGATGAATGGTGGGATTTTCCTGTAGTGATGGTTTTCAATAATGACTTTTGAAAAAGAGCCAACAGTTAGATCCATTATACAGTATCTCATATTAAGCCAAGAGTCAGCATAACGTGTGCATCATTACAGTAGGTGGTTTTATAAGCCTATGCATAATTATGTACACTAATATCATAGTCATGGACAGAAATATCTTTTCAGGCTCTATCTTTTCTGTTCTCTACCTTTCTCTATCTCCCTCCCACGCGCGCACGCACGCACATACACACACATACACGCACACACACACACACACACAAACAAAAAAACATAAGCCTGCACATTTTCATTCTCTTTCTCTCTCTCTCTCTAACACACACACACACCCTCAAACAAATGCTTGAGTTATGGCCTCTATATGTATTTTGATATGGCCTTTCAGTTTTGGACAAACACCTGATGGCAGCTTTAGATTGGTCTATTTATTTTCCCATTACAGGAAGGCCAGACAATATTCTTTTGTTCTAGGGATTTTTATATGTGTACTTGCTTGTGAACCTTACTGAGTGTCTGGGTGTGTGTCTCATGACAGCTTGTTAACTTTGTCCTGTTTGTTTTGTGTCGCTGCGTTAAAGGTGTCTTTAAAGAGTATAATGAAGACTCGCGCTCTCTGTTAAGTCTATAACATGAAACATCTGTGGTAAGTGAATCCTGCAATCTGCAACTGCTTTCCTGGATTTACAATTCATAGTCTAAGTATAAAAAAAGCGAGGAGTCTAGAGGAGCTCCAAAAACGTATAGGATAATAGCACCACCTAGTGGTTAAATCAGCTGAATACCAGTTTTCTATTAATACTCTGAGAAGAAAAATGGCACAAAAAGCTGTTATCCTTTTCAAACGTTTCTACATTTAGTAGTGTAGCTACAATTTACATACTATTATGTACACTTTAGAATAGATTTAAGGTATACCAAGATGCACACGGGGCATTGAGGCTGGTTAGTACCTGGATGGGAAACCTTCTGGGAAAGGCCCATGACCCCTCCAAGTCCCTACCAAGGCCCTATCCTGGTTCTTGATCACATTGAAAAAAAAAAAAAAAAAAAAAAGTAAAATAGGTTGTCGCTGGAAGAGGTGTTAGTGAGGCCAGCAGGGGGTGCTCATCCTGGGGTATGTGTGGGTCCTAATGCCCCAGTATAGTGATGGGGATGCTATACTGTCACAGAGCACCGTCATTCCAATGAGTTCATGACTCTAAAAATCCCATAAAGTTGCCATGCATTGGCCTCTGTCCATCATCATGGCCTCCTAATCATCCCCATGCATGTATATACACTGACTGGCTTCATCACTCTGTCTCCTGTATAATTGATCATTGAACATAGTTGTGAAAATCCAGGCTCTTTGCATTTTTTATAGCTTTGAGATGTGACTTTCGCTTGTCCTTTGTGTGCTTTACATAAGCAGATAGACAGAAGCTGCACATATCACAATGAATGTCCCCTGCGGCATGAATCAGGTATTCAGACAATATTACAAAACACATGTTTCATCGGGTCAGAAATAACTAATTGATGTGGGGGGAATGGAAAGTTTCAATTCAGTCTTTCTTGGAATGCTGGATTCATTGATAAAAAGTTGCTTTAAAATGTTTTTAATGTATCAAGAGAAGTCAGTTAGGAACAGATTACTTTTTAGTAATTAGCTAGCAGACAGTTTTGAGTAATAATAGAAATTAATTCTTTAAATAGAATATGTTATTACACAGAACTATCGCAGAGGATCTTGATTAAGGCCTTTGGCACTGGGGTGTGTGGCCCAGTAACCTCTAATTCACAAGGAAGGTTTTGTCTGCTTTGACTATGAATTACCCTACCATTGCATAGTACTACCCCTCCCTGCTGAGTCTGTGGTTCATTTAACGCACACACACGCACACACACACACGCAGTAACAACACTTTAGTCTGGCAGTATATTTATATGTCTGTGGGATGTTCTCAACCCCACCCTGCATTTGAGAAATTCCAGCACTTCCAAGATCAGTCCCAAGTGCACAGAACCTAATGCCAAGCGCCTTGCTTCTCTCAGCATGAACTGAACAGTGCAGGAGATGTCAAGCCCCAAATATGATCATCCTTGCATGAGGGCCCCCCCAAGCTAAGATTTAAAGGGCATATATATATATATATAACCCATGGGGAACAGGTAATATTATAGCAAAACATTTTTCGTATTATTTAGAAAACTGGCTATTATATTATTTGGAAAACTAGCTAAAATAGCCTATATTACGTTTATTTTATTTTTTTACTCTTTTTTTTTGTACTTTTTTCTTTTTCTTTCAGATTTTACACGGGCCCCCTTACCCCCTCTGGGTCCCCGGACCCCAGTTTGAAAAATACTGACATAGTGCATACTACAATTGATGTTATGATTCAATTCGATCAATGCTAATTTTAGTAGGCTATTTGATAATAATGTAACCATTATATAACATATGCATTTAAGGGGAATATATATATATATATATATATATATATATATATATATATATATATATTAGGGCAGCAATAGAAAGTTGCTTTTAAGGCAACTTTTGTAATAATTTTTATATTTATAAATATTTATATTTATAAAAATTATATTTATAGAGTTTGCTCCTAAAAAAAAAAAAAAAAAAAAAGAAAAAAAAAACACACACGGACGCCGCAATGGGCGGGGTCACGTAATGACATCACATGACAGGATTATCAAATTACTGTAGTTCATTCTCCCACTTCCGTGTTCTTTGGTTCTTTCACTACTACCATCATCAACCAACCGGCCGACGCAAGAGAGCGAGAATGTCTCACCAAACCGGCATCCAAGGTAAACACCTTTATGATCGTTTATCGTCGATTCAAATAAGTCGGACGGAGTTTATTACATAGCTATAATGCACGTTTCTTTATTTGGCGATTGTTTGTAAACAGAATAACCTGTTGTGGCCGTTGCTGAGACTGAATTGCCTTGTAGGGCTTTATTGGGAGCTAGCAGTAAACAAACCAGAGACAGACAGTGAATCTGTGTCAAGTGTACTCTGCCTTTTGGTGCTCCGTATGGGCATGCAAATAAACTCCGATTGGTCTTTCACTATCAGTGTGTGTGCAGTCGAACTGAAGTTGGGGAGTGTGCACTTATAAGGAAGACAGCAGGTTTCAAAGGTCCAGCTGTAATAACCGTGTCACCTTTATCCAAAGCTGTTGCCAAGCATTATGCAATGGACATCTGTTTACATTGATTGGGCTTTTACTGCAGTGGCGTTATGTTACCATGACAACACATTACTATGAATCAATGCAGTTATGCTAATTGTTTAATTAAAGATCACTTTGCATGATAATATTGTGATTTCTGCAAAGAATTTCAAAGAACTTACTCCAAGAATGGACAACAGTCTCCTAAAACTGCCCCTAACAATGCCTCTTTAGATTTTTCGCTTTAGTTCATCAGCCAAATTTCAATTCCGTTATCCAGAGATGGTCAGCTTTGTTTCGGATCAGAATAAATGGATTCATTGTGTCCTGTTCTTTATCGCCCTGTGCTTTCTCTTCTCAGCTACCGGGGAAGTGAAAGAAATCTTTGCAAAGGCTCGGAATGGAGAATATCGGCTCATCAAAGTAGTGATTGAAAATGGTGAGATAACAGTTTTACTTTATTTAAAACATCAGATCAGAGTACAAACATGTAGTGAAACCCCCTTTCACTTGCATTTTCAATTGACAGAAACATTAAAAAACCTTACAATATTTTAATTTATTTACAAAGTTTTCTGAAAAATAGAATTAAATCATTATTCTTTTTTTTCAGCAAAATTTTACATTCACAAATCACTATATTAGTGTGCTGAAGTTTTGTCGCCTGCTGCTTTAAATGCTCAAGCTCTTTAAAGTTGAGTGGATTCTGATTGGCCGTCAAATGTTTTATTAAAAAATGTTGTGAAAATGATTCCAATAATATTTTTCCTCTACGCTGTTATCATTATAGTTCTGGTGTGCTATTCTTTTTAATTTAGAAATATGTTTATAACTACCGGTATATCTTCATTGTTGATTATCGGCCTTGGTGTGAACAGGCCTTTACTCAATAGAAAATCTAATTTATTTATTAGAACACAAAACAAGAAACCAACAAAAGGTTTTCTATTTCCTTTATCTGTCCAAATCTGTTTTATATGTTCACTTTGTTTTATTGTTTTTCTTTACCTCACATTCTCTGAGCTGTTGAATAATGCTGTACTTTTTATTTTGCATTTGACTGAACTAAATAGAAGATTTAAATAGAAAAAAATGATGTATGTCCAATCCATGTATGACCAAATGAATCATATCACACTTTCCTTTCCTCAATTGTCTTCCTGTAGAGAAGTTAGTTCTTGGCGGAAGTAAACGGGCTGCCAAGAAATGGGACCAGGAATGGGACAGTTATGTTCTTTCGCTCGTGGAGGACGAAATGCCCTCGTACCTTCTCTACAGGTTGGATTCCACCAACAACCAGGGCTACGAGTGGATCTTTCTAGCCTGGTCTCCGGATCACTCTCCAGTGAGTTTGTTTGCATGATGTCGTCGTCTTTCAGCTGGTATGAGGCCAAATGAAATCATGAGATGACATCACTCAGTGCATTTTAATCCATCCACTCCATATATAGTATCCTGGTTTAAAGCTCTTTAAAAAAATATCCCAGTTAAGCTTGTTTTAACCATATTAAAACAGCCTATTTTATAGTACTATGTTGAAATGAATAATCATCAAGGACATTGTACCATTGTTATAACAAAAGAGTATATCTAAAGTGAGTGTGGATATCTATGGAGATCCACTAGTACTGTGATTGTCTACAGAGTGAAAATATTAGTTATGCTCATATAATAGTCTTTGCATCGAAGCAAAATATCTAGATGTCAATCTAGTTTTCACAGTACATATATATATATATATATATATATATATACTGTATATATATTGATTTTATGGAAAGCATGGGCTGACCTGATACAGGTCTACATATTTGCCATTCTAATTTTTTCCCTCAATGTTAAACAGAGAGAGACTGAAATGGTCAGAGTCTCAATGGCACCCAAATAAGTCTTTCATGCTGATCTAGAGCAAGATAAAATTGCTCAAACTGCTCTTTTACAAAACAACTTCAAGGTTGATCTGGAAACAGAAATAATATTAATATTGTTAATTTGTTACTATTATGATTTTTTTTTGAGTATTCTTATATGTTGTCATTTATTATTTGTTATCTTTATGTATTGCGTTTTATATTGTTGTTATATACATTTGCTTGGTTTTTGATCATGCCTGTTAAAAGTTCTTTTTTACAGATGCATGTTGATGCTGTTAAAATACATTTATCTGATCCTAAAAAAAAAATCCAGAAACCTATTTTGAAAACAAACATTTTCTTTCAGGTCCGACAAAAGATGTTGTATGCTGCTACGAGGGCCACGCTGAAAAAAGAGTTTGGTGGTGGCCACATTAAAGAGGAGATTTTTGGCACAGTGAAGGTATGACATATATCAGCTGCCATTATAATCAAATTCTCTCATGAACGAATCACAGCCGTTGGTTTCCCCACTAACGCGTGCGTCTCTGTCTGGCCAGGATGATATCTCTCTAAACGGCTACAGGAAGTACCTCACCTCGCAGGCGGCGCCTCTGCCTTTGACTGCAGCAGAGGAGGAACTGAGGCAAATCAAACTCAATGAGGTAATGCTGACATCGGCGTAAACACAGCATGGGTGTACACCTTAGTCAGGCCCTGCTGTGGTTTTATTCAAATAATGTGAAAACCGCATCAGTCCAACCGTCCACCTCAGGCCTTTTGTATCCTGAGGCAAAAAAACTGTTTCGATACATTTTGCACAAAATCGTCTCTGTTATCTGAGGCTGCTCTTTTAGAAACCATTAGGCCAGAATGGTTTAGTGCACTACACTGCATTGTGAATTGTTTGCTTAGCAATATGCATGTTGTAGATCTGATATATTTGTATTTATCTTGTAATGCAGTTTGTTGTTTTGATCTATTTACGACATCATGTCAAAGCCTAGTGTATTATTAACATGATTTGTGGAAAAGAGTCTGCTTAAAACATAAATGTAATATTTGACCTCAAACATACGCTGACTAAAAATAGAGAAGCTCAGTCCCATGCACTCGCTCAGTTAAACCAGCTTCTGGAACCAATTTCAAAGGATGGTGCTGGCAGTGCATACAAACCTCCCATAAACCATAAAAGGATATGCTCTGACTCTTAAACGCCTCATTGGGTGTTGCAGAATGACAGGCAGCTTAATGAACCAATCAAAAGGCTCCCTGAACTCCCTCTGAGCAGCAGCTGTGGGAGGAAGATAATACTACACTAATCTACATGTATAAGAGGAGAGGAAAGCAGCTTTGTGATGTTTTATTTTTATTAATTTGTTGAAAGAGAGATTTTATTGAGTAGATGGGTGGATGAAACGCTGGTCCCAATCCTAGATGAAAGGAGGCAGAGAAGCAAAGCAGGAAGTTCAATCAGTGGGTGAAACACAGAATGTGGCTTGCAGCACTGAAATGTGCATTTTTATTGTGTACAGTATGTATATATGAATGCATTTGGTTGAGGCTCAGGCATTCAACAGTAGTCCAATATACTGTATACCGTTATAAGAAAACAAAAGTAAGTAGATGCAAAACAAAAATATGTTTGAATGTTATATTTACTTTGTATATTAAATAATAAGTGTGTAGAATGTGCAGTGTTTTAAAGTGCAAAAAGCTCTTTGTAATGCAGTGCAAGAACCGGTAGTAGACATTAGAAGAATAAACTACACCATGAATTGTAGTGTGGTTCCTAACTAATCATTTAACAATCATTGTGACTGCTTTGGTTATTACAGGCCAGTGCATACACGTTGTTAAGGGTATATGTGTGTTTTCAGTTGCAGACAGACGTCCATGTTGACACAAAGCAGCAGACGCTTCAGGGAGTGGCGTTCCCTATGCAGAGAGAAGCTATTCAGGCTCTGGAGCAGTTCAGGGAGAAAAGGATTAACTACGTTCAACTGGTACTTCAGGCCTTTTCCCCTTCCACCACTCCCAGCAGCTCTGTACAATGGCATCTTATCCTTCTTTTTAACCCTTTACTCTATTTGTTGAATATAAAGAAATAATGCCTGTGCATAATGGCCTGAACTTGTTGACAGACTGGTTGGGTTGACTCTTAGCCACATTACCCCAACACTTGACAGAAATACATGCTGTAGAGTAACTATTAAATGATATTTATTGATCATGTCTATCCCATTAACAGGAAATAGATTTTCCTAAAGAATCCATCAAGTTGTTCAGCACGGCTCCTACGGATCTGAAAGATCTGCCTAAAAGGATCCCAAATGATGCGGCTAGATATCATTTTTTCCTTTACAAACACTCTCATGAAGGAGACTACCTCGAGTCCACAGGTAATCAATTGTTTATAGATAAAAAAAATACTGTATGTGTGTATATAACATTTTATTTGTCTCTTATGCTTAGTGAGGCTTCATTTATTTGATCAAAAACACAGTAAAAACTGTCATTGTTATAATTGAAAATGTTTCATATTTTAGTATATTTTGAAATGTAATTTGTAAAAGTAATGTATATATATATATATATATATATATATATATATATATATATATATATATATACATACATACTAGGGCTGTCAAACGATTAATCACGATTAATCGCATCCAAAATAAAAGTGTGTGTTTTCATAATATATGTGGGTGCACTGTGTATAATTATTTTGTGTATATATATATATATATACATACACATGCATGTATATTTAAGAAAAAAATATTATTTATATATAGAATATTCATGTATAATATAAAATATTCTAAATATTTTAATATTCATGAATATTCATAAATATTCTATATATTTACATATACATACATACATAAATATTCTATATATTTATATATAGAATATTTATGTATAATATAAATTTTATATAAATCTATATACAGTATATGCATGAAAATATTTCTTAAATATATACAAGCATGTGTGTGTATTTATATATAAAATAATTATACATAGTGCACCAACATATATTATGAAAACACAAACTTTTATTTTGGATGCAATTAATCGTTTGACAACCCTAATATATACACACACAAGTTAACTTAAGATGTTTATTTTTTTTATTCTAAATTTGTCATTTTGAATAACTACATTATGATGCATTTTAATTCTGTTTTAATGCTTTTTTGTGTACGTGTGTTTGTTTTTCCAGTGTTCATTTACTCTATGCCTGGTTATAAATGCAGCATCAAAGAGAGAATGCTGTATTCAAGCTGCAAGAACCCTCTTATAGACACAGTGGAGAAAAACTTGGGCATTGAAATTGCAAAAAAGGTATGATATCCTCGCCTAACCATTTTTACTGCCGTGTCGAGTACATTACAGCATAAATGCCTGGAGGCATGGAATCAGACTCAGACTATTTACAATAATGTCAACGTTATAGTTTTCAACCTGTTTCTCTTTTAATTCTCCATCCTTTCAGCTGGAAATTGAAAACGGTGACGAACTAACCAGTGATTTCCTGTACGAAGAGGTCCATCCCAAGCAGCATGCGCACAAGCAAGCTTTTGCCAAACCCAAGGGGCCAACCGGAAAGAGGGGGGTCCGCCGAATCACAAGGCCGCCGGGGGACGGTGGAGATGACGATTAAACCTCTTCCTATTCCGAGATTGACAGTGGCACATTCCACTTAGTCTAATGAATCCCCGTCCTGAAGCAAATTTCCATTTTCCATTGACTCATCTAGACCACAGCCCTATAGACTGATCTATGCACAAAGTAAAACACTAAGCCTGTGAAAATACATTTTGTAGCTTGCAATATGATGCGCTATGTCGAAGAACACGGATTGAGGTACACGAGAATGTATTTTACGAAGCTTCACTTGCATTCAAGGATGCCGTCTGTGATGTTCCTGGTAAATAGTTTTAACACTATTATGCTGTTTACTTGCATATTAGCCAAGATTATGATGTAGTGCAATATTGTTGAAATAGATACTCCATTTAGTGCTTGTTTTCCAGAAATAGATATTGATTTTCTTGGAAAATCCCTTTTTGAAGAAAAATTAAGAAAAAAAAAAAAACACTAAGAGATAGTTTCCCATAAATTAATATCTAATCTAGTCCAGGTATAGCACTTCAATGGTAGCTTTCCAGTAAAACTATATTTTAGCTGAGTTAATATTTGTCCAGGAAATTGGCTTTGGAGATTAGGCAAGATTTATGCTTGGAAAACAAGCCCAGAAAGTTAAACAGTCCACGGCTGTGAATCTTGCTCCAAGTGGTTGTCTGATCAGGAAGGTCAGAAGTTCAGATCTATTGAATGAGGCCATAAGCATTATTTATTAACTTTCCGATGGATTTGGTTGAAATGAGCGTCCAAATAAATCACTTGACAAGCTCATCAGTATTTTGACAGCCACTGAACCTTGTAGCGATAAGGTAGGGATGATTTCAATGAAGGATTTGCCAAGAATAATGTGCTGAAAATGTTCCAATACCTTTTTAAATATGTATTAATTCTTAAAAATTGTTTTTTTAACGTAGGATTGTTTAATTATAGAGATATGATTATAGTTGAATCAGTCGTAACACAAATCTGAAAAAGCCATTAGCTATTTTTCCTCTAGTGAAGACTAAACCTGCAAAGAAACTATTTTTCTAAGCCTGTACAGCTGTTTGTCCAGATGATGTCGTTGTCTAACATCTTGATCTGAGTGTCCATGGTTTCAGGGGTTTCTGGCCATCCTGTGTGTCTGAATGAATGTTTACATGTCAACTAATGGTTAACCTCCATTTCATGCCATTTGCAACCAAACTAATGTATACAGTGCATGGAGTTCAGTTCGCTTGAGATGCTGTTGAAACCACTCATAAGGGAAGGGACTGTATGTTCCATATCCTCTGGGACGATCCATCTGCTGATTAACAACAACAGGCAAACCACTATTAACATTTCTCCTGTTTATGGGTATTATGAAGTCTGGAACTGAATCATCGTAGAGTCTTAAATGTCTTTTTCTAAGCATTGTATAAGAAAGAAGAGAGAGAAAAATAAAAATTTGAAGATATACTTTGGGAGTCATCTATTTCATGATATAGTGCATGTTTATTTTGTTTTAATTTAATTTAAGCTTAATACTTAATGTGTGGTTATTATTATGATTGATTTAATGTGATATTATCCTACACACATTTTGTAATCAGTACATTAGATTGCAAAAGGATAGAAAGTGTTTTATTGAAATAAATAAAAAAATTTTTTTTTTATTTAAAGGGATACTTATCACAGAAAATGAAAATTCTATCATCTTTTACTCACCTTCCAAACTTGAATGGATTTCTTTCTTCTGTTGAACACAAAAATGGAAGACAATTGAGGCTAGATACTTTTAAGTTACTCTCATTGTTCAAAATGTATTCTTTTGAAGATGTATGAAGAAATTCATACAGGTTTGGAACAACTTGAAGATGAGTAAATGACATAATTTTTATTTTTGAGTGAACTGTCCCTTTAAGACGCTTGTAATTCTGCGCTTCTGTGCCTTTAAGAGCGGTACCACGTGTTGCGGAAGTAATCAACTGACAACAATAGCACGCGGGTGAGTGATCGCACTATTTTCGCCTGTATTTTTATTATTTTGACATAACAATTTTAATCGCTCGAGCCCTTGTAACAGTGATACGACCTTTTCTTATGTAATCATTTTAATGTTAAAACGATTAAATCCTCTTTCCATTTCATTATATCATCATATGTTTATACAAGTTGTTATAAATCACTTAGGCTACACAATAAAATGATTCAGTGACTCAATCGCTAAGTGCGTTTTTGTTTAGGATTCAAAAATGGAGAGGGACACTATATCAGACCATGAAGGTTTCTATGGGACTATAAAAAACTCACCTCAAGACTTTGTGGTTATTGAGATAGACACCCATGGACAACTTGTTAACAGCCCTAATGTTCAGGAAGAACACACAAAACGACCTCAACAAAGTCAAGCTAATGAAAGGGATGATAAATTAAAACCATCTAAACCAGATGACACTGACATTTTAAATCAGGATTGCTTTGATCTGAATCAAATCCTGGGTCCAGCTGTGAACGAAGAGCTGGAACATTTCACTAACAAAATGAGAGCAAATCCAAATGAAAGTTGTGACCAAGAAAAGGCAGAACTGTCTTTGGGTACTTATCCTGATAAGCACCTGAGAGCTGTTGTTCACAGAGCAGTACGATACAACTTCCCCTTTCTTCAGACTATAACCAACCAATCAGAGATTCGGGTCAGAGAGGACCCAGACTTCAAGGAACTCGCCAGTTTAGCCTCCGAAGGAGAAGCCGAGGAGTTCTTCAGGTTCATTGACGCCAAAGTGCCCGGCTCTGTGTTCACCTTCCTGCCCGATGATAGCAAGGAGCACCGAACTTCAGTTCATCATTTTGTTAGCAGGCGATTTGGAAAGCTTGTGGAAACCAAGAGCTTCACCGACCAGCAGAAGACTTCCATTACAGTGAGACTAAGGGAGAGAAGTAAACAAACCAAGAAGAGAACAATAGCAGACTGTCAAGAGGAGGAGGAGGTGGTGACATTATACACAGGTGAGTGGAGAAGACACACTACTTATCATCATTTATAACTGATCCTAAAATGCAAGTCTTCATTTCCCCTCAGCTTTCACGCTGCGGAAGGAGAACTTGGAGACTTTGGAGGCCATCAGCTACATGGCTGCAGTACTCGGAGTGCTTCCGTCCGATTTTACCTACGCGGGAATCAAAGACAAGCGAGCCATCACCTACCAGGCCATGGTGGTCAAAAAGATCTCTCCAGAGAGGTAAACAGCTGATTGGTCAATTAGCACAGTCTTTTCCCATTGGTTTCTCTATTTTCTTGAGTATTGAGTAAAAAAAATGGGTTATTGGGAATGTCTTGTTGACCATGTTCCACTCTATAGTGGTTTTCAAACTCTGGGGATACCCAGGATAGGGTATCTGCAGATAATTGGAAAGAATACAAACTTTTAGGGCTGTCAAAGTTAATGTTTACATGTTAATGGAACGTGTAGCAGTGATTTTAAAACTAGTCATAAATCATGAAAAAAATTGTATTCTCTCTAACCTTAACAAGAAGAAAAAATATTGTAAAATTAAATGCATTTTATAAGAAAATTACAATATTTGAAAATACTGTTAACTTTGGCGTCGTCTGCCATTTTTTGGGGGTTCTGCAATTATGCAGAACCCACAATGAACTACAATATTTTTTTAATCATAAATTATATATATATATGCCCCCCAGATATATTTTGGTTTACTACACTAACAGTATAAATACCATTTACTTGTAAACAATTCTTTTAATTTAATTTATTTCAATTATTTTAATTTAGCTGTCTTTATAATTTCACATAATTTTTCCCACACAGTTTAAATGTTTTTATGCATGGAATGAGATTCTTGGATTAAAATGTAAGGGTCCTTGTCCTCAAAAACTTCACTCCATTTGTAGATAAATATAAAAAAAAAATATATTGGCAGGTTGCTGGACAAAGTCTCAGAGTTCGAGCGGAGAGGAATGCAGATCTCTCATGTCCATCCTGTGTCTGAACCCCTTAAGCTGGGCAGACTCCAGGGAAATCACTTTGATCTTGTCATAAGAGACCTGAAGCCTCATGGGAAACATGGACTTGCAGAGCTGCATCAGCTTGTGAAAGAGGCCGTGGAAAATGTGAAGGTAATTATGTGCATGTTCACCAGCATTTAATAAATCATTGAAATGGACAAACACAAGTTAAAAAATTCTGTTTTTACAGATCAGAGGCTTTGTGAATAATTACGGTCCCCAGAGGTTTGGAAGTGGATCGTGTGTCCAAGCAGACCAAATAGGACTTGCGCTCTTGAAGGAGAATATAGTACTACGTCATGCCATTTATTTCCATTTAATGTCTATATTTGGTGCACCGTATTTTGTTTGAAAGTGCTAAAACAGTTGGTGTTTTGAGCAGGAGGCTTCTGTTAAGCTGTTCTTCACCCCAGAGGATGGCGATGACCTCCAGAACAAGGCAAAACGTCATTTCCTTCTTACAGGTCTGTGCTGGGATTTCTCTGACAGCTGAAGCTTGTGATAGTTCACCCCAAAATTTCAATTTGGTCATTATTTGCTGATCCGTTTCATTCCAAACCCTTTTGACTATGTTTCTTTGCATACTAGTCTTTCTATAGAAAAATAGTAAACATTGTTGCTTCATAGATTTCAGTTCCTGTGCACCCAAGAACAACAAGCCATTTCCTTACATCTCTTTCTTCAGGGAATGCCAAGGAGAGCTTGATACTTATGCCAGCTTACAAAGCTAGAGAGCGGCTTATGCTCCGTGCACTCCACCGGTACGGCAGCAGGCAGGAGGGTTGCATACGCGGCTGGCTCAGTTTACCCCACAGCATGAGGGTCTTTTACCTCCACTCTTACTGTAGCAGAGTGTGGAACGAAGCAGCCAAATACCGGCTCCAAAAACTGGGCTTAAAGACTGTCCATGGAGATCTGGTTTGGGCTAGATGTGAAACGGGACTCAAAAGCACCACAGAGGAACTGAACGCTCCACAGGTTAGGAAATGTGTATATATAATATATAGTTCTTTAACCATAAATGTTTTTTAAATATACTATATATATATATATATGAAAATATTAATTTATGGTCATATCACTTGTAGTAATTGTTTGATTTCTGTGTTGTAGGTCCATGTTGTGACCTCTGAGGAGGAGAAGGATGAAGTTTTCTCATTAGACCAGGTACTATGTTCAAATGCCTCCTTTTCTCTTGCTGTCTGCTAACCCTTACCCATCAGTTTCTATTTTTTCTGCTGGTTTTCTTCTAGGTGATTCTTCCGATGCCAGGGAATAGTGTCAAGTACCCAGAAAACCTGCTGGGCCAATGGTATCAGAACAGATTGGCTCAGGATGGCTTGGGGTCATGCCGTTTTAGAGTGACTCCTCTTAAACTCAACGTCCCGGGGTGTTATCGCCCCCTGCTCGCAAAGCCACAGAACATCACATACAGCTTGCGGACTGCGGAGCAGCCAAGTCTGTCTCTAACCTTTGACCTGGATGCATCCTGCTACGCCACTGTGTGTCTCAGAGAGATTATGAAGCTTAATATTTCATAGTTCGTAAGATGTTTACAGTCTAAATAATGTGGATCTTTGGTAATGTTGAATATGACGGGCTGGTGAGAAATATTTTGGACTTCTTGTCATAAAGCATTTGTGCTCTCAGATGGATTAACCACTTACAAGAAAAGAAGAGGAACATCTGGATAACAACCCAATCCATAACTATGGTGTCTGAAAGTCCAGGTATTAACAGAAAATATTTTCTTTCATTAAAACCAACAGATATACATTGATTCAAAGTATACCTGTGGTCTGTATGTCATGTGCATTAGGGATTTTAAAGGATGTTCTGTGCCAATGTAATAAAGTATTCTTGTGAGTGTATAATATGCCATTGAAAATACATACGGGTAAGGGGTTCTAATGTCGGTCGCCATGTTGCCCCTCTATCTTGAAAGTACATTAGCCAAAGAGGGACACACCCGTTGATTCAAGCTTTGCCTTTTGTTTGAGTTAACACTCATGGACGAGGTCGAACTGGAAGCCATGTTAATCTTGGACTACATTGGCCACCGTAGGAGTTAAAATGAAATCAGAATTGACAGGAACAGAAACTAATATTCTCTGGATGGTCATATACATTTTCACCGCTAGATGGGGGTAAAAATCACACAGTGAGTGTAGCTTTAACATTTTCATTCTAACAAGTCTCTCACATTGACAAACAGATGATCATCAGCTCCCTCTTGTGGTCAGTAAGTGTATCTGCTTTAATAATTAAAACTACAAAACTGAGGTGGCGAGTCGCAGGTGAGAGGACTAAAACTTAAATGTTTTACATCAAATCTATTATTTTGTAAATAATAATGCCTGTAAATGTAAATAATACACTGCCTTTTAAGTCCTGAGTTTGAATGCTTTAGCTAGACTGAAAATCAGACAACTCAGCAACATCTGTGGCTCAGGCCCCGTCCACACTACTGCGTTTTCGTTTAAAAACGGAGACCTTTTGCTACGTTTGCACCTTCCGTCCACACTAAAACGGGAAAAACGAAGACCTAAAACGGAGAAGTTTAGAAACGCTGCAGCTGCGTTTTGCGTTTTGAATCTCCGGAGGGCGTTTTAGTGTGGACGAGACAAAACGGAGGAGTTTACAAACGATGACGCAGAGGCTCACGCTCGGCTCTATGATTGGGTGTCATCAGTCATGACGTATCTTTCCCTGATTCGCCAACCACTTACACCGGCGCGCGCATGCCCAGTGTTGGTGAATGGTCACGTGATCCACGTTTTCAGTCGTTTTAGTGTGGACGGAGATAAATTCTAATACGCAGGTAAAACGCTAGTGTGGACGGAGATCGTTTTCGTTTTAATTCTCCGTTTTTAAACGAAAACGCAGTATTGTGGACAGGGCCTCAGTGGCTAATTGCTTGCCTTATAATGCATGGTGGTCTGTGTTTAAATCCCACAATTACTGAAGCTATTCATCACAGAAAACAAACCCTTGAAAAAAAAAACCAAACAGCTTCTCAGACTCAGTGGCTCAGGAGATAAAGCGCTGAGTCTGGAGTTCAAATTTCACTTTTGCTCATGATAAACTGTGTATCAAATCACTAAAATCCCCAAATCACTACTTGAAGGACATGATGCTGCAGTGGTTAAACACGTCACTTGCAGATAAAGTGGAAATAGAGACAAGGGTTCAAACCTCTCATTTATAACACAAAGGTCTCAATAAAACACGTCAAAAACATTCCTGCCCTTGAGAGACTCAGTGGCTCAAGAAATAAGTTGTTGCATTTTACATTCCATCCAGTTCACGAGGGCTGGGGAGAGGGGTAACACCCACCACCGGAAGGACACAGGAAGATTCCTTACACCAGGCAAGGGGTGGACACTAGCAGTCGAGCTTGGTAAGCAGCTCCAGTTTCCCAGGGAGATAGTGGAAATGTCCAGATCTGGTGCTGTGGTCTGCTGCTTGCAAGGTGGTCCTGATGGCGGAGCTCACAGTCCCATGGGAAGGAGGACTTGAAGCTGCCCATGAGCGGAAGCGGGCCAAATATTTTGATCTGGCTGCAGAGTGCAGGGAGGCTGGTTGGAGGGCAGTCACATACCCTGTGGAGGTGGGGTGCCGGGGGTTCGTGGGCTCCTCAACCTCTCGTATGCTCCGCGACATGGGTGCAACAGGCATATGGCACCGGAAAGCCATGAAAGAGCTGGCAGAAGAGGCTGAAAGAGGCAGTTAACGTAAGGGGTACCACTGTCGTTTTTTTTTTTCGGGCCGAATTTTTGAGTTTCGATATCTCAGCTCTGGAAGGGGCTAGAGCCTCCATTTTTGCACTCAGGTCTAAGTCTCATGGCCCTCTATCAGAATTTGGGAAGATTGGAGAAACTTAATTTTTCACCCAAAAAAAAAAAAACGTAAGGGGTACCACTGTCGTTTTTTTTTCGGGCCGAATTTTTGAGTTTCGATATCTCAGCTCTGGAAGGGGCTAGAGCCTCCATTTTTGCACTCAGGTCTAAGTCTCATGGCCCTCTATCAGAATTTGGGAAGATTGGAGAAACTTAATTTTTCGCCCAAAAAAAAAAAACGTAAGGGGTACCACTGTCGTTTTTTTTTCGGGCCGAGTTTTTGAGTTTCGATATCTCAGCTCTGGAAGGGGCTAGAGCCTCCATTTTTGCACTCAGGTCTAAGTCTCATGGCCCTCTATCAGAATTTGGGAAGATTGGAGAAACTTAATTTTTCACCCAAAAAAAAAAAAAAAACGTAAGGGGTACCACTGTCGTTTTTTTTTCGGGCCGAATTTTTGAGTTTCGATATCTCAGCTCTGGAAGGGGCTAGAGCCTCCATTTTTGCACTCAGGTCTAAGTCTCATGGCCCTCTATCAGAATTTGGGAAGATTGGAGAAACTTAATTTTTCGCCCAAAAAAAAAAACGTAAGGGGTACCACTGTCGTTTTTTTTTTCGGGCCGAATTTTTGAGTTTCGATATCTCAGCTCTGGAAGGGGCTAGAGCCTCCATTTTTGCACTCAGGTCTAAGTCTCATGGCCCTCTATCAGAATTTGGGAAGATTGGAGAAACTTAATTTTTCGCCCAAAAAAAAAACGTAAGGGGTACCACTGTCGTTTTTTTTTCGGGCCGAATTTTTGAGTTTCGATATCTCAGCTCTGGAAGGGGCTAGAGCCTCCATTTTTGCACTCAGGTCTAAGTCTCATGGCCTCTATCAGAATTTGGGAAGATTGGAGAAACTTAATTTTTTCGCCCAAAAAAAAAAACGTAAGGGGTACCACTGTCGTTTTTTTTTTTCGGGCCGAATTTTTGAGTTTCGATATCTCAGCTCTGGAAGGGGCTAGAGCCTCCATTTTTGCACTCAGGTCTAAGTCTCATGGCCCTCTATCAGAATTTGGGAAGATTGGAGAAACTTAATTTTTCGCCCAAAAAAAAAAACGTAAGGGGTACCACTGTCGTTTTTTTTTCGGGCCGAATTTTTGAGTTTCGATATCTCAGCTCTGGAAGGGGCTAGAGCCTCCATTTTTGCACTCAGGTCTAAGTCTCATGGCCCTCTATCAGAATTTGGGAAGATTGGAGAAACTTAATTTTTCGCCCAAAAAAAAAAACGTAAGGGGTACCACTGTTTTTTTTTTCGGGCCGAATTTTTGAGTTTCGATATCTCAGCTCTGGAAGGGGCTAGAGCCTCCATTTTTGCACTCAGGTCTAAGTCTCATGGCCCTCTATCAGAATTTGGGAAGATTGGAGAAACTTAATTTTTCGCCCCAAAAAAAAAACGTAAGGGGTACCACTGTCGTTTTTTTTTCGGGCCGAATTTTTGAGTTTCGATATCTCAGCTCTGGAAGGGGCTAGAGCCTCCATTTTTGCACTCAGGTCTAAGTCTCATGGCCCTCTATCAGAATTTGGGAAGATTGGAGAAACTTAATTTTTTCGCCCAAAAAAAAACGTAAGGGGTACCACTGTCGTTTTTTTTTTCGGGCCGAATTTTTGAGTTTCGATATCTCAGCTCTGGAAGGGGCTAGAGCCTCCATTTTTGCACTCAGGTCTAAGTCTCATGGCCCTCTATCAGAATTTGGGAAGATTGGAGAAACTTAATTTTTCGCCCAAAAAAAAAAAACGTAAGGGGTACCACTGTCGTTTTTTTTTCGGGCCGAATTTTTGAGTTTCGATATCTCAGCTCTGGAAGGGGCTAGAGCCTCCATTTTTGCACTCAGGTCTAAGTCTCATGGCCCTCTATCAGAATTTGGGAAGATTGGAGAAACTTAATTTTTCGCCCAAAAAAAAAACGTAAGGGGTACCACTGTCGTTTTTTTTTCGGCCGAATTTTTGAGTTTCGATATCTCAGCTCTGGAAGGGGCTAGAGCCTCCATTTTTGCACTCAGGTCTAAGTCTCATGGCCCTCTATCAGAATTTGGGAAGATTGGAGAAACTTAATTTCCCCCCCAAAAAAAACGTAAGGGGTACCACTGTCGTTTTTTTTTTCGGGCCGAATTTTTGAGTTTCGATATCTCAGCTCTGGAAGGGGCTAGAGCCTCCATTTTTGCACTCAGGTCTAAGTCTCATGGCCCTCTATCAGAATTTGGGAAGATTGGAGAAACTTAATTTTTCGCCCAAAAAAAAAACGTAAGGGGTACCACTGTCGTTTTTTTTTTCGGGCCGAATTTTTGAGTTTCGATATCTCAGCTCTGGAAGGGGCTAGAGCCTCCATTTTTGCACTCAGGTCTAAGTCTCATGGCCCTCTATCAGAATTTGGGAAGATTGGAGAAACTTAATTTTTCGCCCAAAAAAAAAAAACGTAAGGGGTACCACTGTCGTTTTTTTTTCGGGCCGAATTTTTGAGTTTCGATATCTCAGCTCTGGAAGGGGCTAGAGCCTCCATTTTTGCACTCAGGTCTAAGTCTCATGGCCCTCTATCAGAATTTGGGAAGATTGGAGAAACTTAATTTTTTCGCCCAAAAAAAAAAACGTAAGGGGTACCACTGTCGTTTTTTTTCGGGCCGAATTTTTGAGTTTCGATATCTCAGCTCTGGAAGGGGCTAGAGCCTCCATTTTTGCACTCAGGTCTAAGTCTCATGGCTATCAGAATTTGGGAAGATTGGAGAAACTTAATTTTTCGCCCAAAAAAAAACGTAAGGGGTACCACTGTCGTTTTTTTTTTCGGGCCGAATTTTTGAGTTTCGATATCTCAGCTCTGGAAGGGGCTAGAGCCTCCATTTTTGCACTCAGGTCTAAGTCTCATGGCCCTCTATCAGAATTTGGGAAGATTGGAGAAACTTAATTTTTCGCCCAAAAAAAAAAACGTAAGGGGTACCACTGTCGTTTTTTTTTTCGGGCCGAATTTTTGAGTTTCGATATCTCAGCTCTGGAAGGGGCTAGAGCCTCCATTTTTGCACTCAGGTCTAAGTCTCATGGCCCTCTATCAGAATTTGGGAAGATTGGAGAAACTTAATTTTTCGCCAAAAAAAAAAACGTAAGGGGTACCACTGTCGTTTTTTTTCGGGCCGAATTTTTGAGTTTCGATATCTCAGCTCTGGAAGGGGCTAGAGCCTCCATTTTTGCACTCAGGTCTAAGTCTCATGGCCCTCTATCAGAATTTGGGAAGATTGGAGAAACTTAATTTTTCGCCCAAAAAAAAAACGTAAGGGGTACCACTGTCGTTTTTTTTTTCGGGCCGAATTTTTGAGTTTCGATATCTCAGCTCTGGAAGGGGCTAGAGCCTCCATTTTTGCACTCAGGTCTAAGTCTCATGGCCCTCTATCAGAATTTGGGAAGATTGGAGAAACTTAATTTTTTCGCCAAAAAAAAAAACGTAAGGGGTACCACTGTCGTTTTTTTTTCGGGCCGAATTTTTGAGTTTCGATATCTCAGCTCTGGAAGGGCTAGAGCCTCCATTTTTGCACTCAGGTCTAAGTCTCATGGCCCTCTATCAGAATTTGGGAAGATTGGAGAAACTTAATTTTTCGCCCAAAAAAAAAAAACGTAAGGGGTACCACTGTCGTTTTTTTTCGGGCCGAATTTTTGAGTTTCGATATCTCAGCTCTGGAAGGGCTAGAGCCTCCATTTTTGCACTCAGGTCTAAGTCTCATGGCCCTCTATCAGAATTTGGAAGATTGGAGAAACTTAATTTTTCGCCCCCCAAAAAAAAAACGTAAGGGGTACCACTGTCGTTTTTTTTCGGGCCGAATTTTTGAGTTTCGATATCTCAGCTCTGGAAGGGGCTAGAGCCTCCATTTTTGCACTCAGGTCTAAGTCTCATGGCCCTCTATCAGAATTTGGGAAGATTGGAGAAACTTAATTTTTCGCCCAAAAAAAAAAAACGTAAGGGTACCACTGTCGTTTTTTTTTCGGGCCGAATTTTTGAGTTTCGATATCTCAGCTCTGGAAGGGGCTAGAGCCTCCATTTTTGCACTCAGGTCTAAGTCTCATGGCCCTCTATCAGAATTTGGGAAGATTGGAGAAACTTAATTTTTCGCCCAAAAAACGTAAGGGGTACCACTGTCGTTTTTTTTTCGGGCCGAATTTTTGAGTTTCGATATCTCAGCTCTGGAAGGGGCTAGAGCCTCCATTTTTGCACTCAGGTCTAAGTCTCATGGCCCTCTTTTCAGAATTTGGGAAGATTGGAGAAACTTAATTTTTTCGCCCAAAAAAAAAACGTAAGGGGTACCACTGTCGTTTTTTTTTCGGGCCGAATTTTTGAGTTTCGATATCTCAGCTCTGGAAGGGGCTAGAGCCTCCATTTTTGCACTCAGGTCTAAGTCTCATGGCCCTCTATCAGAATTTGGGAAGATTGGAGAAACTTAATTTTTCGCCCAAAAAAAAAAAACGTAAGGGGTACCACTGTCGTTTTTTTTTTCGGCCGAATTTTTGAGTTTCGATATCTCAGCTCTGGAGGGGGCTAGAGCCTCCATTTTTGCACTCAGGTCTAAGTCTCATGGCCCTCTATCAGAATTTGGGAGATTGGAGAAACTTAATTTTTCGCCCAAAAAAAAAAACGTAAAGGGTACCACTGTCGTTTTTTTTTCGGGCCGAATTTTTGAGTTTCGATATCTCAGCTCTGGAAGGGGCTAGAGCCTCCATTTTTGCACTCAGGTCTAAGTCTCATGGCCCTCTATCAGAATTTGGAAGATTGGAGAAACTTAATTTTTTCGCCCAAAAAAAAAAACGTAAGGGGTACCACTGTCTTTTTTTTTTTTT